TTTAGTTGAGATTTTCATATAAATTTATTCCTATTAAAACACTGTTATTATTTCAGGTAAATATTTGATATTAGTATTTTTGCACAAGTGAACATAACAAATGTTACAAGGTGATTGGTCAAATTTGACGTATTAATCTGTTATATTATAACAAAATCGAAATTTTCAAAATGGCGGCTAGCTGTTTTGTTGAAGTTAGTAATAAAGAAATAAGCGAAATTAAAATGAATTCAGACCAGAAAAATACAAAAAAACTTGTGCAAAAATACTAAAACAATTATTTGCCTCAGGCTCTGTGATTATCTGGGAATATTCACCTTGGCTTCGGCGAATAATTGTTAAATATAATTTTACCATTCCTTTTTCAAATAAATAAATGTTTTCAAACTCAATTTGCTGTGTTTGTTTACTGCAGTCATCAAATCCCTACTTTATCTTATAGTCCACCTTGTGCATGTGTTCTTAACACTGTTTTAGCTGTTGTATATTTAGCACATATGGATCACTGATCTAAAGATGGATCCAGTATGTTGTAGTAGGGAGGGTACTCTGCCAGCTCTGGTGCCGAGTTGTGTCAGTCACCCACCCATCAACTTACTTGACTACAGCAAAGTCTTGCTTGACTACAGTATTGTAGTTGTTAACAAACAGTTTACTTATGTTATTACTCAAATTTTGTCTCTAATATTTTTTGCTTTATCATGAAAATACCCCCCCCCCCTGCATACCCTCTGGCCAGGGCTAGGTGGGGGGTGCACACCCCCCAGTAAATCCACCCCTGATATTTGGTGGTCATATAAATGCAGTGGTCATACATAATTGATGTTAATAAAATGCTTTATTCAAAGTTACAATATATAAAGTAAATACTTAAGATTAATTGCAACATTTTCATGTCACCAATACACCAATATTTATATGTAAAATGTCTACTAAAATATGTATCTATTAAAAGGCAGGTATGGGCAAATTTATATAACAGGTTGCTCTTATTATTCTGGTTCAATAGTTTCATTGCTTGAATCAGTTGAATGGTCATGAGCACAACTTGACTGGATTAGATGTTATACCATTTGCCAAAGCGGGATGTAGGAACAGTTTGCTCAATAACAGTTCTAAATCAGCATTAAATTCATAAGTTCAACTTTTCCCATACTTAGGATCAACAATATAAACAACATTGCCATCATCAGATTCCATTTTCACAAAATATATTCGAATTCTATAAAAATAATGGTAAAATAACAGTGTATTTAACTTAAATGCAGCAGTTAAACTCAACAACGATCGACATATATGCACATTCTTCGAAATAAAACAAAAATAATAACGACTCGTACAGTATAAATTTTCCTCGAGCCATAATTCCCATGCGGTGATTATTCCCGCGATGGGCGACATAGTATACCGAAAATGCCCCATTTTCAAACCGCGATTACTCGTCAGTTTGATGGGGACAATTCATTTTTTAAACTTCTCATAGAAAGAACAACTCTTCCTGAATACGATGCCGTGTCTTTTATTTAATTTACTCATTTATAAACCCAATTGTCCCCAGCGGTTTTGAAAGCCACTTTTGACACTTGTGCATTGACCCGGAAAACAGGTCAATACAAATTGCGATTAACATATAACTAAACGTTGTTAAAACACCAAATAAAGCAAAAATCGTTAATTTGACTCATATTTAAAACAATTATAAAAACTTACCTTCAAAAATACGAACTTTTCGTGGCGAAATATCGAAATAAATATCCACCACTTTTCCAACTAACATTGTGAAAAATCATGATTGTGAATATTAATGATTGCAATGCATGCTGGGAAGAGCTTCCACCCTCCTCTGCCACCAAGTATTGTGTTTTCAGTAATTGCGCGAGGCAGCACACTATTCTTGACGTGCTATGGTTTCTCCAAAGTCCACTCCATGCAGTCTTTCGTGCGATCTATATATTGTCGAGATCTCGATTGTGTCTCTTCGTAAAGATGTCGCAATCTGGGGGGAATAATTAAGCTTCAGGAAGTTTTTTTTAAACCAGGGGGCAGTCATGAGCCAAGGTGATGAGTTTATAGTGTTCATTCTAGATGTTTATAGCAATATGCTTTCAGCACGTTTTACTAAAACAAACGCAGAATGTTTTATGTATGCACTTCTTCAAAAATAATCTGGCTTACTAAGATTCCTATACTATAGCAACCCAGTATTGATTGTTGTCTGCACATATTAACTTACGTTACATATAATAGCATGTCAACCGACTTTTGTACAAGGTATGACGGTCTGTTTATATAAAAATAAAAAATGAAATAATCCTACTGGCCTACATCCATATACCTGGCTATGTCACTACATTTCAGGGCATACAATAATTTTCGACAATGCCCACAATTTCCGTATTATTATATAGTTTTGCAGTTTTGACTTAGTACAATCTTAGTCATTACAAAATAAGATAGATAAAAACTTTATTTATATACGCTGATCCCGTCAACCGAAGCTGATTTTCCACGAGGGGCGTGCGATTTGGGACCCATTTTATTTAACACTTTATATATCATTTTTGCCTTAGCTTTCTTCCTTTTTGTTTTGAGTGGTTCCCAGCCTACTGCACGTAAACCAATAGAGTTATATAAGTCATTGTTCATATCCATAATAACTCTAGGAGCTCTATTTTGTAGTTTTTGGAGTCGTTTTGATTGCATTTCAATAGCATTCAAATCAATGGGCGAACAACAGAATTTATATATAATATGGAAACGAGAGTATATCTTTATCAACAAAATGTTTGACTCGACGAATAGCAGAAATTCCTGCTGTTATTTTTTCCAATTATTTTCAGTATTACTTTTCCAAGATAAATGCTGATCAAAAGTTACTCCAAGAGTTTTGCAATCATAAACTTGTTTGATTTGTTTGTCTTCAATTAAAATATTCGTATGAAAATCAGAAATATTTTTATCATGCATGGTTTTGAACATTAACAAACTCAGTCTTAGCTACATTAAGGCTAACTAGTTTTTTTTGCGGTTAGTCATTCTCTAAGGTTTTCTAGATCAGAATTTAGAAAAGAAATATTAATTAGCAACTGAAATTATTTTTAGTTATTTTCTAAGGTTTTCTAAATCAGAATTTAGAAAATAAATATTAATTAGCGACTGAAATTATTTTAGTCCCTAATTGATATTTCTTTTCTAAATTCTGATTTAGAAAACCCTAGAAAATGACTAACCGCAAATAAACTAATTAGCCTTAATGTAGCTATAAGACTGAGTTTATGTGTAGAAAAAGACTGAGTTTATATCTGAGTTTATGTCTGAGTATATGTGTAGTTTATGTGTTCATTTTTCAATCATTCGCAAAGCCTGCATGATCAACTTTTAACCGGGCTAGTATAAAAAAAATCGGCAATAAATGAATCGTTTTCTTTTGTGCATGTTTTAAATTATTCATCATGCACCTTAAAGTGCAGCAGATGATATTCGAACGAACAGGATTTCTTCTTCGATCTTGACAATTTTCATATGCGTTAATGCTTATATGCGTTTCAAAGTTCAATATAATTAATAATTGGCCCAAATTTTAGTTAATTAAGCCCATTCTCCACTAGACGATTTGTTCGAGCTGTTAGTAGATTTCCTTTTTTCGGCATCCTTTAATTACACGTCAGCAAAAGCGATGCCGACAAAGAAAAAAGGAACAAATGTATAAATACTAATGTGATGCCAACGTACGGTGTATAATAATGTCAGGTTGTGACCTTGTGGCTCAAATTTTCCCCACTTACCGTCGATCGCCAGAATCGATTATACGTTCAACACGTTCATTGACGCTTGGAAACTAGCACTTACTTGATACTATACTTAAAAGTAAGGTATTAAGTAAGTGCTAGATTTCAGGCCTCAATGAACGTGTGTTGAACGTGTATAAATCGATTGCGGTGATCGACGGTTAGTGGGGAAAATTTGAGCCACAACTAGCTCACAACCGGCTGACATTGTTATACACCGTGCATTGCATGGCATTACCTTAGTATTTTACATTTGTAATAACAATACAACGAATTGTATGATAACAATTTAATAAAAGTTATTACATGTAAAATCAGTCGAAAAACAACCAAAAACTAGAATTTCAACATGCTGTCTCAATCTCATTATTACTGCGCATGTCCGCTACAGGTCTTTCTCGGGAAGGTGTAAATCATCTTCAAGTGCCTCGAATGCATTGCAGAATTTGTCCTTGCTTCTTGCTACTTTAAGTGCTGTTGTCTTGCCTTAACTGCAATGTTGAGATATTCTAACTAAATGCATGCAATATGCCTTAGTTTAAAAATGTTCAATATGACACAAAACGTTTGTGACATGCCTTTGCTAAGGGGCAGAAGAGCAATTATGTGTTAGGTGCCAATTATGTGACCTTATACATAACTGGTCTTATGCTGTACATTGTTGGAAACCTATAATTTAAGTACCGGTAGGTAAACCCATCAAATTTATTACAAAATGTTATTAAGTTCCAGATGTTTGTTGAAGAGGAGAAGAAAAGAAGTGCAACGTTTGAGTTTTCGTATGAGTCACGATTTATAGGAACAGTTACTATTTTTAGGCTTTTAGGGTTAGGATGAGGGTTTGGATTAGAGAAAGGGTTGGGATTAGGATTAGAGTTAAGATTAGAGCAAGAGTTAGGTTTAGGGTTAAGTTTTAAAATACAACATAATTTAAAATTACAAAAGTCTAAAAAAAGTAAATCTTCCTAAAACACGACAGGTATAGCTTCACCTATCAGCAGTGAGAGCAATGTTTCCTTGGTATTTTGCCTATGACCGCATAAATTATGCTCGTTATATGTCTGCATACTGGCTGGAAATTATTTGTTTGCATGACACACACCCCGGTGAGGAAATTATATATACAGGATGGTTCTTCAAATATTGAAATATTGGTGAACATATCTACTCAAAAGTCAAAACCTTATGCAGTCAGATAAACATTTAATTAAATACTGTTTCTATTTAAACAGAATAGTCAAACGTATAATGAGCCTGTTGAAACATAAATATAGTATGTATATAAATATATATATATATATATATATATATATATATATATATATATATATATATATATATATATATATATAGGGTGTATCAAAATAAACGCAATTCATCTTTTGTGCTTAATAACTTTCGAAATACTATTTCTAGTTGAACGCTTTTAGGCTTACTTCAAAGCCTGTTCTTTTCTCTTTCAAACAAACTATTATCCTTGTCTCCAATGCTAGTAATAATTGCACAGGAAAAGATTTAGTAAACCTATCATTTTTAGTTGCTGTTT